TATTATGTTTTCTGCAGCACCTTTCTTCATCCATGGAACTAATCCCACATCAAACTTGTGCGTTTGCTAACGCAAAGATTTTAAAGTTTATACCAAAATTGCCGGTAAAGGTATGCTTAGAAATGCGGGCAGAAGAGAAAGTAACTGAAATAAAAAAAACTATGATACTTCTCCAGGTGCCATCTTCCCAATGGTCTCACATAAGGTATTTTCACAATGCCAGTTTATTATTTGATATGGTTTCATCTTTTTCCTAGTTAATGCTGTAAAGTGGGTTTTTGGACTACATGCCAAAACACACAACATTTTAACATTATAACATTGTAAAATGGACCGGTTACATTACAAAACTTGTATTGAAACACTGCAGGAGATTAAAGCTATGGGGTATATGAAATCAGCACTAGTATTTGTGATACACTTGGGACAGTGGCTAAAGCAGTGTAAAGCAAATACAAATAACAAGGCTCAAATGGATGAAAATGGCAAACCACAAGTTAAGAAGCACTGTGCGAGGGAATTGCAATTGAACCTTGGGGAAATGATGGCATTAATTAAGCAAAGCAAATCTGTAGCATTTGAGACTTGTCTCATGATGGCAAAGTTTAAGTCATGCAGTAGTGAAATATTACAGATTATTGAATGGTTGCGGGAAATGCGTTCATTGTTTCAGTGCATCGAAGGATTGATGACTCAGCTGTCTGCATCAAAGAAGGATGTGATGCAACCAATTTTTTCTAGATTGTGTGAAGATGCTACCATTCTCACTAATAATATATTGGGATGGATGAAGACCAGACAGGAAACTCAAGAGACTAATGCGCTTATTATTTAGTATTTAGTATTCGCACAGTGCCGGTATACATGATGTTTTAAAAGAAAACTTAGAGAATATTACAAAAATGGTCCCTATGGTATGGTATAATAGGCACCTATAATCCAAATTCAATAAAATGGACAAACTTGGTCCTTGTGTTTAGTTGTTACTTGTTATTGATGATCTCTAAGTTGTTGAGGTGGGTTTAGTGTTGAGTAGGTTGATTTGTAGAGAACATATTCAAATAGATCGTTGGTTGTTTTTATGATCATCATCATTATCAAGTCATAAAATGCATTAGCATTTCATTTGTTTGTAATTGAGGAGGTTTTGTGTGAGCATATAATCCTGCCATTTCATCTTGTTGACTTATGTAGGGTTGGTACGAGACAGATTGCGAGTGCATCAATTTGTAGCTTGTATTGATTTTGTGCTTTTTCATCCAATCTCTATTATTATGCTTATGATGTTGCATATATCATCTCTATTTTCACATCAGTTTGCAAAGAAAGAAAGCGATGGAATGTAGAGAGAATTCGACTAAATTCCGGTTTTCAAGTAAATTCCGAAAATTCGAACCATTAATGGAGTTCTAGTAGTCTTTGGATGTTGAATCAAGCTTTGATTATGATTCTAACAAAAATTCGCATCTATGAGCTTGATTCACCATTTGGTTGAGTTTTGGGTTTCCAAACCCTAGGTAACGAGGGAAATCCGAAATTGACTCATGATCTATGATTTGTTGGAGTAAATTGACTTCGATTTGAAGTTCCTAGCTTCAAATTAAGTAATGAACTCATTATCATGAGCTATAAAATTCAATAGAGGATTTATGATTAATTATTGCTAGGTAATGATATGTTTGTGAGTTGAATCTCATAAATGGGTTGATTTAGGTCTAATTTTAATAAAACCCCAAATCAAATTGTGATATTAGCTCATTACATCTACTGGAACTATTATGATTGAGCAATCAAGTGAAGGTCAATGTGCAGGTGAATATGGAACTCATGGAGTTTTAACTTGATTTAAGTTTTTGCTGTGTTTGGCTACCAAATGGAGAGGAGGAATCATTACATGCTATCAATGAATTAGAAATATTCAAAATAGGATATACAAAAGTTGTGAACTTCCTCGGTTCATGTGAAACTTCCTCAAACCGTAACAACCTACAATCATATATTAGTTAGTCATTGTTAAATTAATCAATAATAATGTAAAGAAACTATACTAACAATTAAGACAAATTACCTTATCTAGACCTCATCGGCTTCAGACTTTGACCTCACCGTATCACCCTACAACCATATATGGGTTAGTCTTTGTTAATTAATCAATAATGATATAAATTAATTATATTGATACTTATGACAAATTACCTTATCTATATCTAACCTACTTTGACTTTGTCAACATCCTCATCTGCTTTGACTTTCTCAATACTCTCATCTTCTTGGCACTTGTAGGATTCAAGTTCTTCGATCACGTCCTCATTGCAAGATAAATTCGCTTCGTCAAGGGGAGTAACACCCCACCTGCAAACATATTCAAATTTAGTGCATACCATGTTAATTTTTTAACTCTAAAATTAACCCAAAAAAAAGTCAAAAAGATCTAATGAATGACGTACTTGTCCTCCCGTGATATGGCTCCATTCTTCATTAGCAACTTGACCATTGCAAGACAGCCTCATCTTGCAGCAATGTGAAGTGGAGTTTGGTTGTCTTTGTTTTGAGAATCGGCTACCATCCCACACTCTAAGAGTTGTCCAACATAACCAACATCATCAGTCGCCACCGCCAAACATAAAAAGTGCCCACTATCTTCTTTTCTTAATCTGGCTCCGTTCTTGGTGAGGAAATCAATTATTCTGTCATGTTTGCCTTCTATTGCTTCTAGCAAGGGAGATCGTCCAAGATCATCTATTAAATACGACACAAATGTTAGTCAAAATATAATAGACATAAAACCAAGATTAAAGTGAACTTTACCATAGACATCAAAGTCGGCCTCTTTTTCTTTTATCAATAGACCAATCATCTTATGCCATTTTGATGCAGCAATATGCTGTTTATGTGTACTGATGCATAAATTTAGTGTTAGCTTAAGCAAACCTAGACATAACTTATCTGTTCTAAAACATAGAAAGGCACTATTTAAACAAGCACTTTTGAAATAAATTAGTCCTTAGTTCAACAAGCTTTTTTTAAACCTAATGAAACTATTTTGTGAACATCATGTATGAATAGTATGTTTTGTGACTATTATCATACAACACAAAATTGTGCATTGCATTTGGCAAAATCAGACTGGATTGAAATCGATGGAACAAAAAATAAAAAAATTTGTCCTACCAAAATAAGTGAAACAAGGTTGAAGAGGACTTACTCGCAATTTGCTTGTGTGTGCAAAAAATGAAAATTGAGATTGACTTACCAATGACGTCTTTCAATAATAATCTTTTATGTTCACGTCAGTTTCTGCAAGGATAGACTTGTCATCAAAATAAGCCAAGAGGTTGACCTTTGCAGCACGCTCAAATCTCTCTTTGTTCGTCTCGTGAACATCATTTTTTGTTTCCGTCATCTGATACAACATACACGTTAGAAATGTAAAAGAATTAGCAATAGAGTTTTTTTGCTAAACTATTTATGTAGAAGCACATTTTTTACCTTGGACAGGTTTTCTAATACTCTTTTTTCTGAATTAACTCTAGTTGATGATATTGGCTGTTTTAAATTCAATGTCGTTGAAACAGTTCACTACACATTTCAAATACTTAAATCTTGTTCCATCAAAGGGCAATGTTCTTTACTATGGTTGACATTGTTGACTAAGCAACATTCATATGTTTCTAAATCTTATTCCACTTCC